TGAAGAAATCCTATTCTACTCCACAGTCCACCCACCCAGCCATTCATGGAAAGCTGTGGCTCTTCTGGGATGATGATGATGACGACGACGACAAGCATTCTCTCTCTGCTTTCCATTTTCTTCTCCTTTCCCCTTCACTCCCACGCTTACACCCCACCTGACCGTTATTTCATCAACTGTGGCTCTGATTCCCCGATCACCGACAGCCGGAGGACATTCTCCGGCGACGACTTCTTCACCGGCGACAGCACCGAACTCGAAGATCCCGATTTCCCACCGTCCCTGCTCTCCATCTACAAATCTGCAAGAATCTTCACTGGAATTTCTCGGTATGAATTGGAGACGGATCGAATTGGGCCTTACATTCTCCGCCTTCATTTCCACCCCTTTTCTTCTTCCTCCTTCAATCTCTCCCAAGCCAAATTCAACGTCTCCGCTTCTGGGCTTTCTCTCCTGTCGAATTTCAGCGTACCCACTTCCGAATCTCCCGTCATACGAGAATTCATACTCCCGGTGAAGGAAAAGAAGCTCAAGATTCACTTCGTACCTTGTCAAGAATCATCCTTTGCGTTTGTGAATGCGATCGAAGCTTTCTTGGCCCCCGACAGCTCCATCGACGACGAAGCTCTGCCGGTCGGAACGGAGAAGATGAACATTGTGGTGGGTAACCTGTTATCAGATTTCTTAGATGTGATTCACAGAATCAATGTCGGGGGCTCGAAAATTACCCAAAAGAATGATTCTTTGTGGAGAAATTGGGTGCCCGATGATGGTTATCTGGTTTTCCGAGAGCCAGAGATTGTGACTTTGAATGATGTTGATAAACCCTCTTACGCCCCAGAATGGGCAACTCCATATGATGCTCCTGATGCCGTTTATACCTCTGCAAGAGTTTTAACTCTTGACAGTAATAAAACCAGTATCAAGAACATAACCTGGCGATTTCCCGTGGACAGGAATTGTTCATATTTCTTGAGGCTGCATTTCTCAGACATTGTGAGCCCATCTCGGAACGACACCCAGTTCGATTTATTCGTAGACGGGGAATATGTGAAAATGGTGAGTCCATATGATCGAGTTTTCGCCCAAAGAACTCCTTTTTACTTTGACTATCTCTTCAGTTCAGGGGATTCTGGTTCCATGGATCTCAGCGTCAAGCCCCTTCAAGATTCGACTTCCAAATCCGCCTTTCTGAACGGCGTGGAGATTATGAAGCTGGGATCGGAGAAATTCTCGGTCCAATCCGAGACCCAGCCGAGGTGGAGACGCTTGCTGGTCCCAATCGGACCGATCGTCGGCGGCTCTGTTTTCCTCTTTCTGTTCGGAGCTGCTGCGGCGGCGTTTTTCTTCTGTTTGAATTCAAGAAAGGGGAAGCCGGTGGATAATTCGGACTTCCCGTTCGACCAGATCTTCGGCGGGACCTGGCAGAGTCATCAGAACTCGGAGAAGAACTCCATCCCCATGTCTCCCGACGTCAAGAACCTCGGCCTGAAAGTGCCGTTGACCGAAATCCTCTTCGCGACCAAGAACTTCGACCCAAAGCGGATGATCGGGGAAGGAGGGTTCGGGAAGGTGTACAGAGGGACCATGAGGAACGGGTTAAAGGTGGCCGTGAAGAGGAGCGAGGCCGGACATGGCCAGGGCTTTCTGGAGTTCCAAACGGAGATCTTGGTCTTGTCTAAAATCCGGCACCGGCACTTGGTCTCCTTGATTGGGTATTGCGATGAGAAGTATGAGATGATTCTTGTGTATGAATTCATGGAGAAGGGCACTTTAAGGGATCATCTCTACAGTTTTGGGGACAAATCTTTGTCTTTATCTTGGGATCAAAGACTTGAAATTTGCATTGGTGCAGCAAAAGGCCTGCACTATCTCCACGCGGGACTGAACTCTCCGATCATACACCGGGATATTAAGTCAACTAACATCCTTCTCGACGAATCCTACGTGGCAAAAGTCGCTGACTTCGGGATTTCTCGGTCCGGGGTCCTCGACCAGTCCCACGTAAGCACAGAGGTGAAGGGCAGTTTCGGGTATCTCGACCCCGAGTACTACCGGTGCATGCAGCTCACCCAGAAGTCCGACGTCTACTCGTTCGGCGTCGTGCTCCTGGAGGTGATCTGCGCGCGGCCGGCGATCGACACATTGCTGCCGCGCGAGCAGGTGAATCTCGCCGAGTGGGCGATGACGTGGCAGAGGAAGGGCCAGCTCGCGAAGATCGTGGACCCTGTTCTGGTTGACCGGATAAACGCGAGCTCACTGAGGAAGTTCGGGGAGATCGCAGAGAGGTGCCTGCAGGACTACGGCGTGGACCGGCCAAGCATGGCCGACGTGATGTGGGACTTGGAGTACGCGCTGCGCCTGCAGCACACCGGAACGTTTCCCCTGGACCCGCGAGCGGCGGCGGGGGAAGACAGCTCCACCGACGTGTCGTTGCGGTTTCCGGCGCCTGTCTTCCACCGCTTGCCGTCTCATGCATCGTCGGCGTACGACGATGATGCAGGGGACGAGGAGATGGATTCGTTGACTACGAACGAAGTGATAGCGGCCCGTGAGGCTTTTTCCCAGGTGCACAGAGTGAATGGTGCAAGATGATTTTGATTATTAGGACATGCCCCTTATTTGGGTAAATGGGTTAAGGCTAAATCAATTGTAATCAAAGATTAAGGCTGCAATAATGCTACTTAGAATTCAGAATGTAACATTTGCATGTTTTGTTTCTTTCTTGAATTAAGTTCATTTGGTGTTTGCATATACTCTGTATTTGGGTTCTATCAGCAATTGGTCACATAAGTTATTTTAGATTCATAGCTTCTTTTTCTATTGAAATTTTTCCTAGTTCCCAAAATGTTTACTCCCAATGAAACAAATGGGGAGTACTCTCTATTCCATTTGGAGTGATGCTTACCTTCTCTCAAATTCTATATTTAAAATGTGGGTCTTTTCACATTTTTAATGGACTTACATGAGAATATTGTCTTTTTCAAAAAGACACGTGTTTTTATACAAATACACTAAGGTCCATATAATAATATAAACTTTAGATCTACGGACAAATTTGTCTTCCAATATGTTTAATTAAATGATGTCATATGATAAGCATTCATTAAGTAGTTAATTTTAATTAAGTTATGACTTATCAGTCAATCAAACAAGTGTATCAATTAGAGTAGAAGTGGATTTAACGAATTTGGATGAATGAAGTAGAATTAGGCCATGTTTTCTTTTGATTGATGTAAATAGTTATAATTTGATTAGAATAAATTTTGATCTGATTTGATCTGAAAGTAGTTATATTCAAAATTATTTCTGATTTGATATAGTCTGATTTGAACTAATTCTAATTCGAAAAAAGTAATATCTGTTAGAATAAGTTAAAAAAAAGTATGACCTTAACTACTTTAATATTGAATTTTAATACGAAGTATCGTCTTTTTTAATATCACGCTGATGGGAAATATTATTTGGCCCGGATATCTCGATCCAAATTTTCAAATTAATATTACCATAATTATCATCACCAAACACTCGACACAAATTACTCATCTTACCATAACTATCCTCATAGTCAACTCACTAAAACGCTCCATCAATGACTATAATGCCAAGATTATGTACTACTTCCTCCGTCCCGCTATATTTGTCCACTTTTGACTTTTGGAACTGTTCATCTAAACACTTTGACTAATCAAATTCTCTCAATGTGTAAGCTTACATATAGTCATGTGTGATCTTGTTTAATTTGTCTTAACATATACTCCCTCCGTCCTAGAGTATTTGTCCACTTTCATTTTTGCACACCATCCAATGCACTTCTTTAGTTCATTTTATCTTGTAATTTGTATATTGAAAAATTATGAAAATTATATATTAATAATCTTTATGTTAAGACAAATCAAACAAAATCACACATGATTATATTTAGGCTTACACATTGAGAGAATTTGATGAGTCAAAGTGCTTAGATGAACCGTTCCAAAAGTTAAAAGTGGACGAATATAGCGGGACGGAGGTAGTAGATTATTAATATATAATTTCTATAATTTTTTAATATACAAATTATAAGATAAAATGAATTAAAGAAGTGTATTGGATGATGTGTAAAAATGAAAGTGGACAAATACTCTGGGACGGAGGGAGTATATACTAGTAATACTACCCCCGATATTAATAAAATCTCCCCGTTGGCATGGTACTGCCGAAAAAAGTTATGGTTTTCTCTTGGTTTGAGTTTCCACGTCAAAAATAACTTATTTGTATTATTGGTGATTGTTAGGCTTGCTTATAATTTTTACACGATAAAAATGTTACGGAGTAAAACCGGTCAAAATAATTAACATCATCACACGTCATGTTATAACAATTAGTTAAAAGGTAATTTCCAATATGTTTATATATATGAAACAAGAATCTATATATACTCAGAGTAGTTCACATATTTCTAATTAGTTTTATGGATGTAGAAAATATTAATCTACGTACGTAGTTTGTCTATCACAACTATAAAATTCCATGCTATCATTACAAAAGGTATAATTAGGATTAGTAACCATCTTAATATTTAGTTTTAAAGAAATCTATCTGGATAAAAATAAAAAAATATCAAAATACTAAAATAGGAGTCTTAAGTTTTTTAAGACAAATATATTCTACTCATCGCAGTGTTATATGCTTCCACATTTTTTGGGGGTTTGTTGCTTCTCTAGTTCTCTCCATCCGTACGGCAAATTATATTATACATCCGGTTGTATCCAATTTTGGGTACAACCAAAAAATTATTTATAATTTGGAATTTATTTTACATGAAAATGAACACTAAGTTATTTGAGAATGAATATTGTTTTGTTTCAGAATGAACACTACATTATTTGTAGATAAATAATTAAATATTATAATTATATTGAACCAATGTATGAAATTGAGTAATGCATTATATTAGAATGAATATCATACCAATTAATACTGCTCCAGAAAATGAATACTGCTCCAGAATGGGTACTACCAAATGTACCTCTCTCATATACATCCTCATCGAGTCCCACTGTTATTTTGTTCTTCCCGCCCCACACCCCACCTTCTCCTCTCCCTTGAGTCCCTTCCCCTTCTTGAGTCACACCTGTGCGTCAGTATCTCTACTCACTTTTCCCAGCAAATACCAAAAACCGGCGAGCCCAACCGCACAATCGCCGCCGGCGCCCACCGGACGCTGTCATCCCCCCCAAAAATCCAAACCGCCAATCGTTGTCGTTTCGGAGTAGAACACACGAGAATCCGCAGCTCGACGCCGTTGAATTGGGCAGGACACTCTCTATCAACAAGACTGAGTCGAAAAATGCCGAGTTCGAAGGACGATTCCGCCACCAATACCGGCAGCTCCAGCTACGACATCCCGGAATCTAATTCTGTCGTTTACTCTGTAGGCGAGAAGGTTTTCGCGTATCACGGCCCTCATTGCTACGATGCCAAGGCAAGCCCTTTCCCTCACTCCCATTTTTTCATCCCTATATTTGTCGGTTTTGTTATATAAATTCCGAAACTCATTTTGTTCGATTTCTTCCCCTGCATATGGATTAACCTATGTGTATAAGCATATGTGTAAGATGATATCGTCTTGCATATTGTTTTCCCAATATAATGTTACACTCATTTGTTTAATTGCATTTTCAGTGCATTTTGATTCTTAACGAGATTATCTTTGAACCCTACATGTCGAATTTTTTCCGAGAACTGCTAGTTTTGTTGGGGTTTAGAATTGGAAAACCAAGATTAACCACTGATTATATGAAGATTTGGATTACTGATTTGCAATTTGTTGCCTGGACTATTTACATACTCCCTCCCTATCAAATTAGTTTTCCCACTTTGGCTTTAGGGAATGTTGAAAAGTGAAAATGAGTGATTAGAAATTGTTTGGAAGAGGGTAGAATTTGTTTGAAAGAGAGAAGTATTTTGTACCACATATTATTCTCCTAAAAATGGAAAGGAAAAAAGTGAAAATTATTTTGGAACGGATGAAAAAGAGAGTTGGAATTTTTATGTGAGACGTAGGGAGTATATTATTTATACTCCGTATTTGTTTAACACCATATATGTTTCTGTATTCCCGAAGTTGGTAGCACGCTGATGCAGCTCATGTGCTTTTCGAATCTAGGTTCAAAGAGCGGAGCTTCGGAATAAGGAATGGAGATATTTTGTTCATTACACGGTTAGTTTGTTTCTGTACAGTTAGAAAAGCGTACGAAGCAGTCTGTTTTCTGAAAAAGACAAAGGAACAAAATTTGTAAATTTCTTATTCTAATGTCTTTCAGAATTACTTATTATTGTACATCACATTTTTTTTCCACATGAAACTGAATTATATCCATTTTGTGTGCAGGGTTGGAGCAAGAAGTAAGTTAAACGCATCCCACTTCTCTTTTAAAACATATTAACTTTCTAGAATTCAATGCTTGTCATTGAGCAGGCAAAGCTGCTTTACCATGATACCGTAATAACTATCAAGCCATTTTAGTTCTTATTCTCAATGTGTCAAGGGTATTATCAACTCGACTTTGTGGAAAGATACTACGGAAATTAGCTACTGAAGTTTTATCGTCTTGAACCAGTTGGGATGAATGGGTAGGTGCTGATCGGCTAGTAAAGCTTACCCAGGAGAGTGCCAAAAAGCAAGACAAAAAACACAGTGTACAGAAAAGTGCCAGATCAGGGAGCTCAGCTCAAGATAAACCTAAAAAATCAACAGGTTTGTTATCACCTGAGAAAGCTTCTAAGGATTCAAACAACAATTGCATAATTGTGATTCTCTGTTAATTATCAATGTGCAACCTTTAGAGTCGAAAGGATCTTTATCTAGTTTGCCAGATAAACTACAGAGTGATTTGATCATTAAAATATTCAGTTCATGTCTTTCTCTGATATGGTTTCTAAGGAACGTGTCTCGTTATATGTCAGTTTTTATTAGAAGCTTTAACAATGCATTGTTGCTAGCTTTAAACTTACATGTGTAATGGAACTTTTTTCCGGAATTCTTCAGACCTGCGAGTTGATAAAGAGGACACGAAGTGCCATGGTATGATATATTTTCTTCCACATTTTGTCCATCTTTTTCTTAATGTAAGACAATTGCCCTTTTAAATTTAGCCAGATGCCTTTCGTTTGTTTTGTGAGAGCAGAATTTTATATAATTTTGTTACAATTTTCAGTTCTTCCAACTTTATTCTTGTCAGTTACTCAGTTTGATTGCTCCATCAATGTTTCCTTAGCTCATTCTCCATGGTTACTTGTCTTGATGGCTAAACCAAACTATGCTATATATATTATCCTAGAGGAAAAATCAATCACCGTTTACCATTTGAACTATCCTAATCTTTTATCTCTCTGTTCAAAACTCTTAAGTCTGCAATTAAACTAATATTGCAGTTGCAAAGGGGAAAAAACACAAGGCTGACTCCGGAACTGAGGTTTGCTTCATTTGGAGACTGCATTTAATGTTGAAAAAAATAAGCTCCCACCATATTTTAAATGTGGTTTTGAATCACGTCTGTTTTTTTACATGTTTGTAAATTGCTATTGTGTAGTATGTTGTCTCTCTACTGGAATGCTTTGATTGTTGTTTCTAATTGTTATGTTCTTGGCATGATTATCTTGCTCTTTGGAGGTCACGCTTGGGGGTTTTGAAGTCTTTGGAAACTCTATAACTCTAGAGACATATTTCAGTGTCCAGATTGTATTTTATTTTAAAATTTACAAATAATGAAAGTGTTTCTTGAATATGACTTATTAGATTCTTTAATCTTGTTTTATTAAGAGATTAATGCAATTTATTTCTATATTAGGAGCCTTTTGTTATGACTAGAGTGCTATTGACTTCATATTATGATATCTCTGTTTGTGTATATTTTCTTATACACGGAGTATGTAGGAAAAAGTCATTTTCTGAGATGCCCCTTTAATTTTTATTTGCACACTTCCCTCCATGTCTTGTGTCCTGATTAATTTAGAAAATTTGTTTCCCTGTTTCTCTTTTCTCAGTTTTGTGCAACTCGGCTGTTTTTTCAAGTTGAACTTTCATCTTTGAAGTGGTTTTTTTCTTACCCTCCATCCTTTTGGTGGCCAATGTTATCAAAGTTGTGGTATCCCCTTCATTGGAAATATTTTCACAACAGATTCTTAAATTGACCCTGATGCTACTTGTTAACCTCCTATGGGGTTGCGTTTCACAAGCAGGACAGTACACCAGTTGAAAAACTTATCACGATTCAAATTCCATCCACTTTAAACAAGCAGCTCGTTCATGATTGGGAGTTCATCACTCAACAAAATAAGGTATTTGCTGAAATTTTTTCTTGTTTATTCTTTATATCACTGTACCCTTTCTATTTGTTGTTTGTAGAAACTAGAACTGTAGATGGGATTCAGAAGTTACTACTGAGGTTTTCTTTTACATAAAGCACACATATAAGGCTCTCACTAGCTCTTGCATGAGCAGTGGGGTCCTTTTGAAAGTTATTTTCTTTAATGGACATGTTAAAAGATAAATGTCTCTAATCTGAGGTCTGACCAGTTCTTAAGACCTCAAATAAGAAAATCAATTCACAATTATCTCAGAACTTTTGTTTACACATTCCTTGCAGCTTGTCCAACTGCCCCGATCTCCCAATGTTGATGATATACTTCGAAAATACCTCGAGTACAGAACTGAAAAGGATGGCATGTAAGTATCTTGAGTTCTTTTTCATTTCTTATTATTTTTTGAATTAAGAGGTTGTTTCTTTTAGTGAAAACTAAAAAAAAACATCCATGATTATATTCATTGGATACAGGATGACCGATGCAGATGGGGAAATTCTGAATGGGGTACGCTGCTATTTTGACAAATCCTTACCTGTTATGCTTTTGTATCAAAAGGAACGCCAACAGTATCGTGAAGCAGTATCAGGCAATGTATCTCCATCAAGTGTGTATGGTGCTGAACATCTCTTGCGTCTTTTTGGTATGCATGTTTTGTTTTGAAAACTTTTCTTGACATTTATTTTGCTCTCTCTGAGTATATTTTGTATACAATTCCTAAACATAAAAATAAAAAGGCCTCGGCTGGCGAGACCCGAGCCACAAGGCTGTTTAGTATACGGACCAGCAAAATGAAGTCGCTAGCCTTCAAGTTCTTGTGTCAGGCCTTTAATTTATGCTTCTGGCACGCCATAAAGCCCATAAGCCAGTTTGTAAGGTATCTATTACAAGTGGCGTTAAAAAAAGTTCAAATATTTCATTTTGTTGGATAACTTCTATGATAAGCTCTAGCTCATTTCTAAACAGAGCAATAAACTTCTATGCACTTCTCATTTTAGTTCCCTATATAACCCGATTTTTATTTATCTTCAGCGTATGCCTTTATATTTCTAAATCAGCGTATGAACTTTTCTTTAAACAAAACACTATCTGAGATCAGCTGGCTTATTGGCAATAATTCATAAGCTGTATGCTATGAGTTACTAATTAACTTATCCCAGATATCAGCTGTAAGTTAGTTTTCCAAACACAGCCTTCCTTGGCTACAAAAACACTACATATCTCAACTGTGGCTGCTGGTTTGCAGTAAAGTTGCCTGAGCTGCTTGCTTGTCTGAAAATTGAAGACGAGACGCTGATCCAGCTGCAGCAGAAATTGGTGGATTTTCTAAAGTATCTGCTGTTTACTTGTCTTTTAGTACTGACAAATATATTTCAATTATCAGTCGTTGCTCATTAAAGTGAGAAGTTTGAATTTTGCAGATTTCTGCAGAAGAATAAGGGTGCATTCTTTCTTACTTCTTATGACACCATTAAAGCTTCTGGTGTAGATGGCAGCAAGGGAAAAGACAAGTGAATGGACAGAACAATGGAGTAAAGCTTGGGAGGAAGAACTTACTAATCTTTGGTTTCACTTAGATCCTGACTATTGCTTGTACCATACTCTCACTATGTTTAGTGTAGTAGTAAAGCTTGGGAGGAAGAACTAAGCTTCGTCTTTTTATCTTTAATTTTACAGACAAAATATTTGAGTATATGCCAGAGATAATATTTGTATATGTGCGGCGACATATATGATTTTATTTGTTAGATCCAAAAGTTTTGGGAAAAGGGGGCATTAGTGCCTATTTTCTAAAACAGAGGGCACACATGCTCATTTCTTATTTTTTGTTTATTACTTTGTTTATTTCCTTTTTTTAAAATTTTTTTATCTCCTTGTTTTCCTTTTTTTAAATTTCTTATAAATTTTTTATAATGTTTTTAAAATTCAAAATTTTTAGATTTGGGATGTCCAACAAGGATATTCATTTTTATTTTTTGTTTTATTTTATTTCTTATTTTATTTCTCATTTTTTGAAGTTTCAAAGTTTTTAATTTTTTATTCTAGAAAAAAAATAAAAATTACTCCGTATTAATTTGAGATGTACAGATGCAGGATATGTTACTTTTATTTTCAAACAAAAAGTAATTTTAAATTTCAAAAATATTATAAAAAAATTTTAAAAAGAAATTTTCAAAAACTTTGTTTGATAAAAGAAACAAAAAAGGAAAATATAAAAAATAAATAAGAAATGAGAACGGGTGCTCCCTTCTGTTTGGAAAAGAGGCACCAATGTCTTTTTTTTCGTCGGAAAAATGGTCGAAAAATGGTCACAAGGACATAGGTGTAATATTTTGAAATTACACAAACTTTAGAAATAAAATTTAAAAGAAGTACTAGTATCTACTCCCTCCGTCCCATTTTAAATTGCCTATTTGCCTTTTTTCTTCGTCCTAAAATAAGTTGCCTGTTAGTTGTTTTCGTAAACTTTTAAAAATAAAATACCTAAATTATCCCTAAAATAAGTCACACTTCTTCACCTTATCCTCTCATTCATCATCATCCCTCCTAAAAAATAATGTCAATTTTGGAAAATCAACTCTATTTTTTATTTTCCTTAAATATGTCCAAAAGTCAAAACAGACGATTTAAATTGGGACGGATGGAGTATTTTCTAAAGGGTGGGTACTTTTTTGAGAAATTTATCTAAATAGGACTAAAACATAACGACTTTCCCAATATAGGACCATATGTTTTTATTTTCCAATGTAGGACTTTTGGTCATTAACAAGTAGTCATTATTCAAGTAAATGTCTAGCATTACTAGACATTATTCCTCCCACGAGGTCATTATTAAGTCCTATTTAGGGAATAAAAAAGTTTAAGTATTACATTAGGAAAGTCATTATATTTTAGTCCTATTTAGCGCAAATTTCACTACTTTTTTTAAGAGTAAAATTTTACTCTAATTTTTTATTTCCGACGTTGAAATGTTTGTCGATGACGAACTGCCGGAACAACAAGAGGTTCTTCTGAAATTCGCGGGCGCGATCGGATATTATCGCCTATCAATTGTCTTGCCGTAGAATCTCGATCTTCCCTCACGCGCCACCAAAGCGATGTCTCTCCGGGAACACTTCGCCGCCTTAGCCAACCTATAATCTTGTCCAGGTTTATCAATTTTTTCCCATCCGCAATTCCGTTTCTTCATCATCTGATGCTCCAAGTTTTATATTTTCGCGTTTTTATTTGGCTGATTGGATGAGTAATTGAGTATCCTTGATTGCTTAGGTTTGGGCAAATACATTATCATGTTTTCTACTCCTATGTGATTGGATTCAAAAGTAGAAACTAGGATGAGATGATTCTGTCATGGCTGTTGTTAATAGGCGTCTTCTACCACCGTTCACTTTGTACACAGAGGGTAGGGGAGAAACATGTATGATCATTTCTCTCCTGACTCACACACTTGTAAAGACTATGTACACTCACTCACAATCTATAACAAAGAAACACAATGTGAAGAAATGATTTTGTATTTTACTCCTTTCGCCCCCCAAAACATCTTGACTTCATGAAGTTTAAGAGAAGTTATGAAAAATCAATGCTGTTTGTTGAAAAGTAAAAATGTGTAATTGAAATTTACTCCTAGTATTTTTGAAAACAGAGAAGGGATAGGAGCCATATATTCCTTTCTTAAAATAGAAAGTGAAGAAGTGTAGAGTTCTTTTTAGGATGTACGAAATAGAAAGCGTAAAGTTTTTTTTTGTGACGGAAGGAGTGTTTACAAATTTACGGATTGTTCACTTCACTCTATTCTAAGAAGCACTCTTGGACGCGTGCTTCTACCATTGACTTTGGAGCTTCTCCCATAAGCAAGCTAATAAGAAAATAAGTTAAATAAATATTTATCATAACATTATAAAAATATTTATGTACTCTGTAGCTATTAAGAAAGTCAATGAATTCTTAGACGACCCTTAGGTCCACCTAAGAATTTACCTTCTTGGATTGGATTTCCTTATCTCTTGAGGTGGCTTTCACTCCCACCTTTTTAGAAGCATCACCCTAAGTTTACTAGGAATGAGGATCCTCACCCTCCATTTAAACTAATTTTAACCTCTCTATAGAATGCCTCATACTCTAAAATGTTCTAGGAAGCCCTGTACTCTTCCACAAAGATCTAGAGCATTTTAAAGTTATTTTGATGACTAGAATATTTTTGAAAATCCACTCTCTTCTACACGTTTTTAGAGTGTTCTACACTTCTCTAGAGGACTCAAGAATATTCTACACGATATCACACCATTCTTTTCATACCTAGATAATTTACACATTTGGACAAAGATTTAGATTCTGCAGAATCTTTGCAATCAAGAAAGGATTAAAAGAAGCCATGTCGCCATCATACCTCCCCTCATGAACTAATTGAAACTAATTGTAAGGCAGCAAACACACAAACAAATATGGATTCTTACATGTTGAAACATAGCAGTCTCTACCTTATATGTGAGTAGGTTCTCCTCAAACAAAGCTTGTATCATATTATGACAAGCAACTAAACAAGGGTCGTGACCTCCTCCATAGCAACCTTTTATCTGTCAAATCAGACTCGTGGAGGGGGTTAAGAGTGAATATAATGCATTCACATGATTTTTTATAAGCAAAAAGTTTATAAAACATAAAATGTCTTCAAAAACAACACATTTCTCATTCCAATAGCAATAATTTAGATCTCTTCGTTAATGCTAATTTTTTACATATTTTTGCACAATAGATACTTACATATTTACATACAACTTATTCTTTTGACACCGAGCTTTGGTGTCATATTATAACACCAAAGTCATCTTGGGACTCTATGGTGCTTCGTTGGGCTCGGGCCCGGGGATGGGTTCAGGGTAGGGGGAGGGGGCTGATGCTGTTTGTCTATGATGAAGGGGGGATTGGCGTCAACCAGGGGCTGAGGGTTTGTTGGTGGCCTCACTATCATATTATGACACCAAAAGTTGGTGTCAAAGAACCGTTGTGATTTGCATAAAGAGAAATATTCGGAGTAAGTAGATGTGATTTGGGTGAGCCAGAGGTTACTTCAACTATCTCTCAAACTATTTTACACTGTTGGTACTTTAAAACACTACATTTGGACTTTGGAGTGGGAAGTGGTTCGTCTGGCCCCTCCCTAGCTTCATCCATGCCTATGTAGCTCTTTGTTGCTCCTAAACTCGGATCAGAGAGAAGTGTTGTTGGTTGCCACCATAAGAGTCAGGAACACTAATGAACCATAAAGAGATTCTTCACAAGCATGTTTGCCTACTTGAAGACGCGCTACATTCTCTAGGTCCGAGTATGGTTGCTTAGTTGCTTTGAAGCAATTTCAGTTCCCTTTCTAAGCTTGGTTGAGTGTCAAATGAGCAAGGACTTTTAGGGTCTAGGCATGCTAGTAGTTAGAGCCTTAGCGGCTTTTTCATTGTACTATATACTGCTTAACGTCTTAGAATGTAGGATCCTCAACTGGTAAGTTGATGTAGTTAGTGGAAGCAATGAAACAGATGTGAATAAACATTTCTTGTCTTCGAGAAACTAGGTTGGGAATAAAGGTAAAGTGATAAGTGATAACACTATGGACTTATAAAAGGATAGTTTTCACTTGCACAATGAGGCTTAATGCGTGATATACGGTATTTGACTGAAAAATTGGAAAATAGGATTTAGGCATCTCTCAAAAAACCTCATATTAATGAGTTATGGGAGCACTTATATTTTGGTCCATCCTCAATCTCTCCTGTAGGAATTTTGGGTGTGCGCCCAACAGTTACCAAATGATATATCTAACCCATGGTGGATTGTGAATACTATGGTGCACCTGCTGTTCATTATAAATGCTTATTATGCACTCTTTTGTGTTTCAACTCGAGCAAATTATCTGAATCTAAAATTTAGTAAACTTTTTTTTTATGTGTTTTAGGAGTCTCTGAAACTACTTTTCATAAACTTTTTATGTTTAGGAGTGTAAATTTAAAAAATGAACATGATGAAACGGCCTCTCTACTTTCGAGTAGGGACAAGATCTTCATACACATATCCCTTCCCAACCCTACTTTTTGTGGGATTTTACTGGGTTTGTTGTTGTATCCTGAAGATCGGTTGAGAAAGATTGAAGAGGCTGTAACCACTTCTTCACACGGAAAAGATTTTAATGATGCTACACTTTCTGTTAATGAGAAAATGCTATAAATTTTTATATATTTATAATAATGATGATTATGATGGTTTGTTTGTAGCTATCTATGTGCACCCCACAAGTAGTTCACTTTTTATTAGTTAGAGATGGTTTCTGGTTTCTGCCAACTTGTTCATTTTTTGAGCAATATCTGGAAATGCTAAAAAAGAAATGTATTTTCAATTAAAATCCACACCAGAGGGTGAAGATAATATTCTTGAAATGCCATATCGGAGGCACATAAATGCCACTAAGTGTGCAACGCAAGGACTTTCCTTTTGCAATAAATAATTTCCTTCAAGACAAACAAGATAAATACAGGAGTTGTGTCTTGATGTATATCTTAATTTGGATTTTCCCCTCTTATCCCTAACTTGATGCTCAGCACATAGATTTCCCTGAATAAGTTTTGGTTTTTGCACATTGTGTGGGTTAGAAGAGTGAAAAGGTTAGAATAATTACATTTCACTCTTAGGTGTTTTTGGTTGGACGTAAGTAGAAGGGGGGGAAGTTGCCCAATTTTCTCTCTTTCTGTTCAAAACATTTGGATAGCTTTTACCTCAATCCTCTCCAACACCATCATCTCCT